TAAATGATATTTTGTTTTAAGGATATTAGAAAAGATTTATAATCAATGAATTGGAGCAATGGGTTAAAAGTTAAAGTGGAACTGATTTGAGAACAAGGAAGATCAAACTTAACTGAAGACAAGACCAGGAATAAAACCCACGAGTTTAAGAAGTTTAACTAGACAGATATGTTGGATGATTTCCAGAACTACAGGAAAGCTGGGGATTTGGATAAAAAGAAATGAGAAATTCAAAAGAGCTTATGAGAAACAGTAGGGGATTTATAAGTATGTTAAATGTTAGAATGGGGCTTAGGACCTTTTTTTTTTAAATGTCAATTTTATGGAATGGTAACTTTCCACAGATGTTTCCACATTTCAACTCTTCCACTCATATTCATCTTTAGTAGAGAACAAAATATAAAAAGGCATTCACGTTGTTGAATCTTTGAAAATTTCATATAGAACACCATCTTGTAAATCTCTCTCCTTTGACGTTTGACTCCATACACTCGTAGACTGTGCGTGTAAAATTATTTATAATTATTTGTAACAACCCTGACCTCTTATACGACTACTGATTTACCATTTTGTCTGATCAGGTGTCTTATAGCATTTGTCAAACGGTAATTCAAATGCTTTGTTAGAATTTGAGCCTGGTGTGTTACGGTACAATGGTTATGTTAGTTTGGCGTCTAGTTCTTCTAAAAGGATCGACGGAACGTACTTTAATTGGCTTTCCACCTGAAATTAAATTATATAAACCTAATTAAATGCGGAAGTTAAATGTTGAACAGAAAATACTTCCCTTCTATCTAAGAAATAAAATCCATAAAGTAAAATATTTTTCGGAAATTATAAAATGGGAATTATAATAATAGAATAATGGTAGAATTTATAAGAAATTAAAAAATCCCACAAAGTATAATGTTAAGAAACAGCTGAATGGATTAGAAATGCAAAAAGAAAGTGAACTTCATAGGCTAAAGGAAAACTTTTATTAATAGAGCTAATCTTAGTTCCGAAACACATAAAAATACTATAAAAATCCGAAATTTGGCTTTTCAGCAATGGTTCTCGAATATATTTGGTAATGATGTATTACAGTTTTCAAGTGATGACTTTATCAAAAAATTGACAAGCTACAAATAAGGGAGAAGCAATATATATATATATATATACTGAAAAGAGATGACACTTCAGTACTAAAAAAACAGGTGTTTTACAGCCTTTCTAATAATTACATATAGATTGGATTTTAAGTGTATTACTAATAGTTTTTAAACCTTATTTCAGATTGAAATGAGTAAGGAACAAATATTAATAAGAGGATGGTAAATTGAAAGGTAATGAAAAGGAATGGAATAGATTTTTAAAATAGCTGACGAGTTTCCTTGTTTTATTTGTTTGTAATCTCTGTCATCTAATATCATAAAACACATTGTGTATCTAATAATGCTTGGAGACGGCTTGAATGGGTAATGAAGAAAAATTTTAATATAAGTTTCACATAGCAGCAAATGTACAATGTACAACGTTTCCAAGCATTATTAGTCTCAAAGTGGGTTCCTTGTCATCGAACATTGTGTATCTCTCTCTGTCTGTCTCTCGGTTACGCAATGATGTTATAGCAACTTGTTATATAATTTAAGTAGTTTGGCTTCCTGTCAATTAGAAGCAAGTAGTCTACGATTGATCGAAAATTAAAGGTATATTTGGACTAAAATGTAAAAAAAATTGCACCTTTTTTCGCAATTTGAAAACGTGTCTTTGTTAAATCGTCGAGTTACGCCAGAAAGGACGTAAATACACTTTAGTAGACATTTTATACAACATATTAAAAGGTTATCAAAGTTTTTAAAAAGGTCTAACGTTAGGTCGTACAATAATATTAGAATATTATTTATTGATAGTATTAAGTGCGGTAAGGTTTAGCCCTAACTGGATTAAGTAAAAAACGTACACAAGTTACAGTATTAATTTATCTTTTTATCGAATATCGGCCGTACTTAATAAAGGCTTAACTAAGGTTAGGACTAAGACAAGTGGACTCATAGATTTGAGTGTCTGCGATTAGAATTCTTTTAAACTATTCTAGAAATCCTGTATTTAAAGAAGTGCTTTTGCAATAAAGATTCTAATTTGACCACAAATGTTTTGCGGGTCTCAGCTAGTTTCTTTATAAAGACTACACTTCAAGGTTGATTTTGTCCAACATTTTGTTACTGTGTTCCTTATTTCTCAATAGATAGTACTATTTTGTGCTATTTCTGCACTCTTGAGGAACTTACAAAGCTGCTCATAATTCTATGTGTGTACATTGGAATAAACTGTAAAGCATTACATTTGCAGTTTTGGCCATTATGTCGGGAATGTTAACGAGTTCCTGAAATCAATTTACAGCTGCATGTTCTCCACAATCAAGGAGGATTCCCCTTATAAACTGAAAGAAAAAACTGAACCTCTGTCTGTTAAATGCCCAATTCGAACACTTGGTATATCTTATAATGTTATTTCCCCGAAAGAGGTCACCTGTTTTAACCGCTCGCACCACTATACAGTAGTGTGTTATCTGTCAGTCAGTCAGTAGACACTAAAATGACAACACATAAGGGACGCTTAACGTTGTAATTTGTACTGTCGCGACGTCATTAAAGCGTGAGCATGCCATGTATCACGAGAAGAATTATGCACTCTCTAGGTTACAACACAGCATGACTTATGAAATTCAGAAGCAAAAAATAAAAATATTTATTACTCTTAATTTTGATTTTATTTACTTTGAAAAAGAACAATTTCGGGGGCCCTGCGATAGTACATCTAGTATAATATTATACTAATATCAATGTGACATAGTATTTTCCAGATTAGTACAGAGTATTAGTTTCAGTAATCATGTTACATATCATACAGATATTATATTAGCTTTAATTAATTAATTATCAACCTGTGTTATTTTGTTGTTGAACGATATACGTATCAGGATGGTTTAAGTACTCTAAGTCTGTTTTTTATTGTTCAACATACCAAGTTGTATTAATACGCGCCATTCACACAACTCTGTGCTTTATAATGTCAGATTGTTTGTTTTGAATTTCTCGCAAAGCTACACGAGGGCTATTTGCGCTAGCCGTCCCTAATTTGGCAGTATAAGGCTAGAGGGAAGGCAGATAGTTATCACCACCCACCGCCAACTGTTGGGCTACTCTTTTACCAATGAATAATGGGAT